CTCCAGCCTGGGCAACAGAGAAATCTCTTTCTTCTATGTCACAGTGATTCATGTTTTGACCAAAAATCAAGAATAGACAATAAGAGCAATTTTAGTATACTCAAGATGAGAAAAAAAAAATCTAGATTGAGTAAAATAGTTAAGGATTACTTAGCTAATATACAAAATGTATACATACTGTTGCATATATTTACCACTACCAAATATTATCTCAATCTAAACTTTCCATATATTCAACTGTTCATGTTATGTTTTGGCAAAATGGAGGCAGTCACTCACAAAGACTGAATTTTATAGTTGTTTTATGAATTACCTTTCTTCTTTTGGGCTTTAGGTATATGCTATATAAATTTTTATTTATGTGTTTTTATAAACATACTCATTGATATAACAGAAAATGCTATCCATCTGCTAGAATTATATTAAAAGAAAGTACATTATGTGAGAAAGAGAACAATGAAATATAAGTTTACACTTAAGTTTTATTAGAAAAGGACATTTCTTCAAAGACAGTTCAAACTATATCTTGGGATAAAGGACATAGCTGAAAGCTAATATATTTATGTTATAACAGGACAGCCCGTTTAAAGCAATTTGATGCTCATTGAGTACATTCAAATGAGTTTTTAAGATTATGAAGCCTGCCTTGTCTTGCCAAGGATAAATGAATGGCCTGCTACTCAAGCAACTGTGTTGTTTCATATAAGGATTACCACCTATCCTCCTAAATTACTAGCTTATAAAACTGAAGACAGTGTTTTGGCAGAAATTAAGTGAGGTTCCAGGTTTTTTTCCCCCTGCATCCTGATGGATAATACAATTAAAACCACATTTAATAATCAGAACATTCTATTAAAAATAAACATAATAGGTAAATAGCTAGATTTTAAAAGATCCATGCATTTCTGGTTTCAGTATTAAGTAGAAAAGATTTATAAAGGTAATCTGATGCTCCTCAGTGATATTTTCAAATATTAATGACTGCTATCCATAATTCTTCAGAAAATAGTCAGTCTCTTCATACCTATAAACCATTTTCTATTTGTGTTTATATCCAGATAAGAAAAACATTCTTCTCTTAATACCCAGATAAGAAAAATATTCTTCTCTTACGTGCCGTGTAATTGCTAGCAATCACTGACCTTTTTACTGCCTCCATAGTTTCTCCATTTACAGAATGTCATATCGTTGGACTCTTACAGTATTTAGCCTTTTCAGATTGACTTCTTTCACTTGGTAATACGCATTTAACTTTTCTCCATGTTTTTTCATGGTTAGATAGCTCATTTATTTTTAGTGCTGAATAATATTCCATTGCCTGGATGTACTATAGTTATTTATCCTTCTATCTACTGAAGGACATCTTGTTTGCTTCTAAGTTTTGGCAATTTTGAAGAAAGTTGCTGTAAACATCCGTGTGGATGTTTTTGTGTGAACATAAATTTTCAATTCCTTTGGATAAATATGAAGGAGCATGATTGCTGGATCATATGGTGAGAATATGTTTAGTTTTCTAAGAAACTGCCAAACTGTCTTCCAAGGTGGCTGTACTATTTTATATCCATCCTTACCAGCAATGAATGAGTTTATGTTGCTCCATATTATCACCAATTTTTTTTTGTCCATTCCAAAAGGTATGTGGGTGTGTCTCAGTTTGGTTTTTAAAAATCTCCACTTCTTCTTCAAATATTTCCACACCAAAAATATATTTTTTGGTATGACAAAATATATAGTAAATCAAAATCAGAGGTGGCGAGGAATAAAAGACTACACACTGGGTACAGTGTACACTACTCGCGTGATGGGTGCATTAAAATCCCAGAAGTCACCACTGAAGAACTTATTCATGTAACCAAATACCACCTGTTCCCCAAAAACCTATTGAAATGAAAAAAAATTTAAAAGAAAATATTTGTTTAATGGTTAAAGCTTTTAGTTCCACTTCTTGGGAGTCTACAAATCCTAAGAATATATGGTAGTTCTCAGATACTATTAATAAAAATTGTTACCATTAGAAAAACTCTCCATTTCTTCTTCAAATATTTCCACACCCAAAGTCTATTTTTTGGAATGACATAATATATAGCACATCAAAATCAAGCTGTAAGAAAAACATTATAATTTTTTTATCACATAGTTAAGTCTAAGATAAGGGTCTGGTGTCAAGTAGTCTCAAGCTTGTAGAGTACAGTTAACAATTTTTCAGTAAAACAGAAATTTAAAACAGTTGTATCTGTTTCCAGTAAAACAGAAACAGACTGTATGTGGAGCCATACAGTCTAAGTTTGGATAGCATATCCACTATGTGTAGTTATGTGATCTTAGTCAATCAATCATGGGAGCCCATAAGCTCTCAATGGCCAAAGCTGAAACAATATTAGCAAATAAATAAATGAAGTATAAAATAAATATTCAAGAGTATATATACTATTGAATATATAAATATTCAATAGTATAAATTATTCATACTATATAAATAAATTAATAAATTAATAAAGAAACACCTACAAAAATCTCCCTTATAGAACAATTCCTAATAATTGATGTGGGGATGCTCTGCCCTCAAGAAACTAGAGCATAAATCCGTACTCCTGAAGTGAAAGATATGCAAAGCTACTTCCTTTCAAAGGGCACAGTATAAAAACAGAGGGAGAGATGTTCATAGCATACAGTGGAGAAACTCAAGAAACATTACTTCAGTCAGGTGACCAAAGTTAACATCAATGATGATAGTCATGTCCCTAGTCTATACTCTTAATAGGATGGCATTTTCCTCTCTTGTCTTCCTCCAAAAACGTAAAACCCCAGTGTTAGCATGGGAAAAACATCTGACAACTCTCTATTGACAGACATTTATAAGATATGTGACCAATACTACTCAAGCTGTCATGTACATGAAAAGCAAGAAAAGTCTAAGAAAAGGTCAAAGCCAAGAGAAGCATAAGGAAACATGATTAATATTATATCATGGATGGGATCCTCAAACCCCAACAGGTCATTGGATAAAAACTAAGAAAATATAAATAAAACATGGACTTTAGTTAAGTATCAATATTGGTTAATTAACATAATGAATTTATCATTCTAATGTAAAATGTTAATAATAAGGAAATTGGGTGCAGAGTGTGCAGGAATTCTCTATACTATCTTTGAAAGTTTTCTGTAAATCTGAGACTGTTCCAGAATTTTTAAAGGTGCTATTTAAAAAATTAAATTGCCTAGACACACATTCAAAGGTAAAAATTATTTATTGGATAAAAACTTACCAGCAATATGTTGTTTATATGAACCCATTTATATAATAGAACAAATTTAAATTGAAAGTAACCAGTGAGAAAAGATACAGCAAACACTATCAATCAGAAATCTTGGTTGCATGTATAAATACTGGACAAAGAAGGGTTTAAGGATAAGGATACTTTAATATAAGAGAACATAGATTTAAAAAATAAAAGTTGAAAAGCAATGTTTCATAATAATAATGGCAATCATTCAACAGGAAGACAAAACAATTACACATTTTTATGTACCTAATGTCAACTTAAAATATATAAAGCAAAAACTTTGACAAATTGAATAGAATAAATATGTAACTCCTCAGTCTTAACTAGATTTTGAAATGTCTTTTTGAGAAACTGATAGAAGAGATAAACAAAATACATATAACTATAAAAAATTTGAAAAATGTATTAACCAACTATATCTCTCTCCCTCTCTGCTTATATATCTGTCTATATTTATATATCTACTCATATCTACATCTCTGTATATCTACACCAAGTAACGGAAGGCTGTGCATTCTTTTCAAGTGAACATAGAAATATAAATCAAGCCTTAAGAAATTCCAAAGGTCTTAACTTATACAATGTATGTTCTCTGACCATAGTTGAATTAAGCTAATTATTAACAGCAGAAAGGTAACTTGAAAAATTCCAAATATCTGAAAATTAAAGAATACAATACCTGAACATGAACCTCAAAAAAGGGGATGTCCAAATAACCAATAAGCACATGAAAAAGTGTTAACCCATACTGCTGTGGAAAGTCCATATCAAAACCACATGATCTAATGTACGCCTACCCATATTTCTTTTTTTTTTTTGGAGACAGAGTCTTGCTCTGTCACCAGGCGTCAGGCTGGAGTGCAGTGGCACAATCTCTGCTCACTACAACCTCCGCCTCCCGGGTTCAAGCAATTCTCCTGCCTCAGCCTTCCGAGTACCTGGGACTACAGGCGTGCGCCACCACACCCTGCTAATTGTTGTATTTTTATTAGAGACGGGGTTTCACCATATTGGCCAGGCTGGTCTTGAACTCCTGACCTCGTGATCAGCCCACCTTGTCCTCCTAAAGGTGTGAACTTTAGGAGGAATTACAGGTGTGAACTACCACTCCTGGCTCAATTTCAGTTCTTAGTAAATAAAAGCAATGTACGCATACAGCTATTATGACGTGTAAGAGGAGCGGAAAGGATTCTTCAAACAGGAATAGAAATGAATAAAAGTAGCTAGCAGAGTAGGAGAAAACTTGAGAGAAGAAGCGGAACCCTTGTTTCAGATGGCGTGATTCTTTTTTTTTTTTTTTTTTCCCCTGAGATGGAGTCTTGCTCTGTCACCAGGATGGAGAACAGTGCGGCAGTTTCCACTCACTGCAACCTCTGCCTCCCGGGTTCAAGCGATTCTTAAACCTCAGCCTCCCGAGTAGCTGGGACTAAGGCGTGTGCCACCACGCCCGGCTAATTTTTGTATTTTTAGTAGAGACGGGGTTTCACCATGTTGGCCAGGATGGTCTCTATGTCTTGACCTGTGATTCGCCCGCCTTGGCCTCCCAAAGTGGTAGGATTACAGCTGCGTGAGCCACCATGCCCGGCCCAGATCGCGTCATTCTGACGAGAGTTGTGTGAGGGCACGTCAGCACGGTCGTGATTTCGGCAAGGTGACGAAGAATTTCATCCGGGCCGACCTCATACTGAGCAGGCGCAGTCATAGCGGAAAGTTCTTCCGGGCCAGGTCGTGCCTGGTAAGAAGCTGTACTTCCGCTTGCTCCCGGTACGGAACTTCCTTTTAGGAAGGAGATCATCGGTCGAAATGGAGAGCAAAAGACCACGACTGCTCCAGGAAGAGGACAAGCAGAAAACAATAGCCAGAGTGGCGCTCAGTGCACCTTCCATGCTACGAAAGAACCAGCTAGGTTTCCTCAGATTCACCAACTATTGCCGTTTAGCTCGTGAGCTGCGTGTGAGCTGCATGCGGGGGAAGAAGGTCCAGATTTATAGCTGGGATCCATCCTCTTTGATAGGCGTCCGATTTAACTTAATACTGGCAAATACCAACACTGACCAGCTCTTCACAGTGCACCAAGTCGAAGCCGGCGGCTTCAAGTATGGCATCATCACCATCCGAGGTCTGAGGACCCCTGAGCTCAACGTATACTCGCACAAAAACCTGTACGTCCCTAACCGGAAGGTGAATTCTTCGTGCTGGGCCTCCCTGAATCATTTGGATTCCCACCTTCTGCTGTGCTTCGTGGGATTTGCAGAGACTCCGAGCTGTGCCGTGCTGCTCCCAGCTTCGCTGTTCATAGGTAGCTACCCTGGAGCGTGTCGGCCTGGCATGCTCTGCACTTTCCAGATCCCGGATGCCTGGTCCTGTGCCTGGTCCATGAGCATCCACGCCTATCACTGCTTCAGTACAGGTTTGTCTCGGCAGGTCCTGTTGACCAACGTGGTGACGGGACACCAGCAGTCATTTGGGACTAACAGTGATGTCTTGGCCCAGCAGTTTGCAATTATGACTCCTTTGCTGTTCAATGGCTGTCGTTCTGGGGAGCTTTTTGGCATCGATCTGCGTTGTGGAAATCAAGGCAGGGGATGGAAGGCCATTTGTCTGTCCCATGACTCAGCAGTGACCTCTCTGCAGATCCTCCAAGACGGGCATTGCCTGGTGGCATCAGACATGACTGGAACGATCAAGCTGTGGGACATTAGGGCCACTAAATGTGTAACACAGTATGAAGGTCATGTGAATAAGTCCGCCTACCTGCCCCTGCATGTGAACGAGGAAGAAGGTGTCGTGGCGGCCGTGGGCCAGGACTGCTACACGAGAATCTGGAGCCTCCGTCACGGCCACCTTCTCACAACCATACCCTCCCCATACCCTGCATCGGAGGACGACATTCCCAGTGTGGCCTTCTCTTCTCGGCTCGGAGGCTTCCGAGGAGCACCAGGGCTGCTCATGGCTGTCCGGGAGGACCTTTATTGTTTTTCCTACAGTTAATTCTTCAGGATACAGCCCAGAGGAACGTGGATTTGACTTGAAGAAGTAGAGTATGGTATTACCGTTTCTATGAGCGCATTTTAAGAGCTGTTCCATGTTTGTAGATCCCATTCATCTGGCTGCTAGGGGTAAGGTGCTATTTTATGTGAAGATAGTTTTGTAAAGTTATTTCAGTTAAATTGTGGGCTTAGAGAGTTTGAAAGTCCTTTTCATAAAAGGTTACTACTTCCTTTTCTTATTGAATACCTTAAAATAGTTATTCTCTCCCCTTTTTTTAAACAAAAAATACTTTTCTAAGGACTGAAGATTGGCAAAAACTAAAATTAAAACTGCTTCTTTCACCAGAAGCCCTTTAGAGAATCATAATAATGCACTGGTGAAACTATTTGACTAGTTCTATCTGGGTTCTGGAAATATATACATCAGGCTTGAGAAGTCCAGAGGGAGAGAGGCGGGGAGGGGGAGATCATTTCTTTTAGTTTCTACAGAAGTTTTTGAGGCTACATTTTGGAATCATTAAACTTGGCCTTCTCAATCTCAATAGCAGATCTCTGAGATTCTCCTTTTATTATTTTCCATAGGCAATGGAAGGAAAAGTGCATCTTTTTAAATAATAGAAGTTTTAAACTGTCCTTAACGTGCCTTTGTTGAGGCACCTTCCAGAACATAAGGTTTCTTCAGAATGCAGCTCTGGTTTCTATAATGATGACTTGAATGTCAGAGTCAAGGGCTCAGTGTCAAAGGTAATTGACCTTGACTTGTGATTTAGGAGCAGCAGTTTGTGAGATGTTTATTCAAAGTGTTAAAGAGCTTGTTTTCTACCAAACAAGCTAGAAAAGACAAAAAACAAACAAAACAAAACAAAACACTTGTGTAATATAGTTAGTGCTACTTAATAGCCAAATCCTGGAAGTGATCTGACTTTGCAAAATGCTAAAATTAATAAATAATTTGTGTTGTAATCATACAATTGGATAAAGCATATTATGAAATAAGTCACAATTGCTATATGAAACTGTGGATTAGCCTCAACATGTTGATTGTAAATGTAGGTAGAAATGATTACAAAGTGATTCAGTTCTAAAATTCAAAAGCAGTAAAAACTTACCTATGAATACAGGGTACTGTGGAAGGAAGAACAGATATTGTTTGGTTTTTTTCTTTTTCTTTTTAGGATATTGTTTGGGAAGTAACATGGGGAAACTTTAAAAATGCTGTTTTATTTTTCTTGATCCTTAATACATACATATTTTGTATGTCTATACACTTCACACTTTATATAATACCTCAAAAATAAAAATATGAAAGCAGAACACTCTTGTAATTGGTCAGGCAAGGGAGTGATGATGGCTTGGACCTGAATATGAGAAGTAAAAATAATAAGAAAAATTGGAAATGATTTCATTGGAAGATCATTTGAAGGTAGTATTAGTAAGACTTGCTGATGAGAGTAATCTAGAAAGTGAAAGAATAAAGATTACAGCTTTTTTGTTAACTTTAGGACTGGTGGATGGTGTTGTCATTTACTAAAATGGGGAGGATTTGAAATGAAAAAGTTTTAGGTGAAGGGAATAATGCCAAGTTTTAGGCAAATATTAAACATCTAATTCCGTAGATCGGAGGTGATGTCAGGACATAGATAAGGTTAATGTAGTAATTACATATTGATAAAGGAATAGATCAGTAGAGAAGATGCAGAAGAGTGGTTAGGTGCATAGATTTTTGAAATCAGTTAAATTAGTTTTTGATACTCACTTGATGTGTGACAGGAGAAATTGTGTAAGCTTTACTTGTTATCATTTCTTCATTGTAAAATGTCTTAGATAATAAAACTAACTCATAAAGTAGGTACTGTTTTAAAAGATATATACATTGACCCTTTTACATTATAAGCATTCAGTAAGAAATAGCTGCAGATGTTATTTTTTAAAAGAAGTTCAAAAACAGCTATAGGCAGTTGACAAAATGTAATGACTACATAACTTGTGAAACTGTTTACCCTCACTTGCAAATAGAATAAATGCGAATAAAGCAATGATTATGTATTGTTTTCATTTGTTATTCTAGTACAATTTTTGTTTGTAGCAGCTTTATTTAAAATTGCCAAAAACTAGAAGCAAACCAAGATGTTTCTCAAAAAGTGATGGTTAAACAAACTAGTACACATACTTATATGATGGAATATTACTTAGCAATAAAAATAAATGAGCTAGTAAGCCACAAAAGGACATGGATGAATCATGAGTACTTGTTTTGAAGAAGCCAATTTCGAAAGGCTGTATTTGTAAAATGCCAACTATATGGAAGTATGGAAAAGACAAAACTATAGAGATGGTTAAAAGTATCAGTGGTTTCCGAGAGTTCAGCAGGAGGGGAAAGAGGTCAATAGGTGCAGCGCAGGGATTTTGTTTTTCTTTTCCTTTTTTTTTTTTTTGAGACGGAATTTCCCCTGTCACCTAGGCTGGAGTGCAATGGTGTGATCTTGGCTCACTACAACCTTTGCCTCCTGGGTTCAAGTGATTCTCCTGCTTCAGCCTACCAAGTAGCTGAGATTACAGGCGTGCGCCACCACACCCCATTAATTTTTTATAGCTTTACTAGAGATGGACAGGCTGGTCTCGAACTCCTGACCTTGTGATCCACCCGCCTCAGCCTCCCAAAGTGCCACCACACCTGGCCAGGGATTTTTAGGATAGTGAAATCATTCTGCATGATACTGTAATGACGGGTGTATGACATTATGCATTTGTCAAAACTCAGAGCTGTATAACACAAAGAATATACCCTAACGTAAGTTATAGATTTCAGTTAATTATAATGATCAATATTGGCTCATTAATTGTAACGTGCTATACTAATGCAAGATGTTAATGATAGGGTAAGTTATAGAGTAGAGAAGTGGCAAATGCTCAATTTTTATACTGTTTATACTACCTGTTCAATTTCATGTTAACCTAACACTTCCCTAAAAATCTAATAATTATTATTTTAAAAAATTAGTTATGATCACAGAAACCAGAACAATGTGGAGCAGGTTGTTCTTGGGAAGTATCACTAAGACAACAGTGTCCATGAAGAAGACAAAACGTCCCTTCAAGCTGCAAGTAGAATCATGTTCAAGTCCTGTTAGCTAATGATGTTATGATGTAAGACTTATAATTAAGGCATTAAGGCCAATTTTTTTTTTTTTTTGAGACAGTGTCTTGGTCTGTCACTCAGGCTGGTGTGTAGTGGCACAATTTCAGCTTGTCTCACTGTAACCTCTGCCTCCTCAGTTCAAGCGATTCTCCTGCCTCAGCCTCCTGAGTAGCTGGTATTAGAGGTAGGCCACACCCAGCTAATTTTTAAATTTTTTATTTTTATTAAAGATGGAATTTCACCATGTTGGCCAGGTTGGTCTCAAACTCCTGACCTTAGCTGATCTGCCTGCCTTGATCTCCTGAAGTACTGGGATTATAGCTGTGAGCCACCATGCCTGGCCTAATTTTTGTAGTTTTTAGTAGAGATGGGATTTTACCATGCTGGTCAGTCTGGTTTTAAACTCCTGACCTCAAATGATCCACCCACATATGCCTCCCAAAATGCTGGGATTACAAGTATAAGCCAGGGGGCTCAGCCATTAAGGCCTATTATTATGCAAGGCCTTGACATCTGGTACAGTCAAGAGGAACTCTGATGGCCTAATGAATATTTTTCCTTCCCACTTTGCTCCCACAGATAAGTTTCTTAGCCTGTTAACCCTTTTTATCAAGGAGACTAGGCACAGTGCCTGCTTATTTCTGACAAGCAGGTTTACGGTCCTGCAGGCCCATGGAATTATTAAAACAAGCCAATCCCGTTCTCTCAAGGCAAACGAGTCACCTTACCATCTTACAACTACAATGCTTATTTCCCTGATTGTTCACTTTGTTCTCAAATGCAAACCCGTGTGACCCTGTGCAATGTACAGTGTCCTCTTCCCTCAGGCTGTGAGTATATGAGACTAATAAACTGCTGTCAATCTCATCTGTCCAGTGGCCACCTATATCCGTAACCCTAGAGTTAGACATCCTTCCTCACCAATGGGGTGCCTAAGAAGAAATTAAAATAGATGAGTCTTATCTATCAGTAAAACAAGAAGAAATTAAAACAGATGGGTCTTACCTATCAGTAAAACAATGGTTCCAAAAACTGGAACCCCTAATGGGCTTAGGCTACTCAAAATTTCTTCCAGGAATTGGAGAGAGGGTACAGAAATCTGCGGATGCATACCAGGAACACTTGCCAGCTGGTAGAGTTGAAATTGATTTTGTCACAGACAGTAGTGGCTACATAACTCTGGTAAAGTCTTGGACAGGTGAGGACATGCAACTTAGCTCCAGAAAGTGTTCAATATATCCAATACTCATAGGTATCTCCCCAGTGTGCATATTTGTATGAATGGGATTCAGTTATAAAGGCTGCTTGCAGAGCATCTCTCTGGTGTATGTCAGGTTTTGTTTCATTCCTTTCATTCCTGAAAGTCTTTCTCCAGTGTTAACTTTCTGGTTCCAAACGAAGTTAAGTCTTTGGCTGAAGACTTTCCCCTAATTTATTTTATTTATAATGCCTATCTGAATTGTGAATTTTCTGCTGCTGAATCAGAGCAGACATTTGGTTGAAGCTTTTCCCACATAAGTCTTTTCTCTCTAGTAAACTTTTTGGTGTCAAACGAGGTTGGTCTTTTTACTAAATCATTTCCAATATCTGCTTTACTCATAAGACTTTGCTGCATTCCCTGTTTTTGAAAGAGGCTTAGAGATATGATTAGAGAATTCTTCATATCCACTCCATAATTAAGCTTTTCTTCATTATGGATACTTTGATGTTTAATGAGGCTGGAGATAAGAAAAAAAATTCCACATTTGCTGTATTCCAAATGCCCTTTCAAAATCTTCAGTGTGAACTCTCTAGTGCTTAGTAGGTGTGGGGTTGCGGATAACTTATGTCTCCCATTTGATACACTCAAAAGGCCTTTCTTTAATATGAACTGTTTTGTGTTGAGTGGAGTTGAAGCACTGGCTAAGGAAGTTCCCAGAGTGGTTGTACGTATAAGGTGTTTCTCCAGTGTGAACTCTCGCGTGTATAATCAAGTTGTATTTATGGGTAAGTAATTTTCTGCCTTTGTTGTTTTCATAAGGATTTTATTCAGTATGTATTATCTGGTGCTTAACAAGTATTTATTGTGATTGAGGACTTTCCAATACTTGGGACTTCTGTAGTGCCTTTGTCCAATGTGAATGCCTCCTTCCACCTGGTGCTCTAGTGGGTCACCCCTTCCACACTGTGAGGGACCCGATGCTTGAGAAAACCTGAGCTGGTCAGAAAGTCCTTCTTACCCTTTCTACATATGAAGGGCTTTTATGACAGGTGGACTCTGGAGTTCTTCAAAACTCAATCTCTGCTCTCTTTTTTTATTATTCACCATGTAGCTTCTGGTGTTGGTAAAGGTTTGCTCTGAACCAGAAGCCCCTCTCATGTATACAATGTCTTCCAAACTGGACTACATGTTGCATTGGAGTAGGCCTTCTGGGTAGACATTCCTGTCTTGGAAGCCTTGACGTGTGACACCCCATGTACACAATCACCACATTCAAAAGGTGCTTCCTTAGTCTTTAATCTGCAAACAACCACGCCAGTTTCTCTCTAAGCGCTTCTTGCCATTGCTGAAATTCTGTCCACGTAATCAGGCACTATATTAGGCTTATAGAGCTTCCATGACAAAATACCACAGACTTGGTGGCTTAAACAGTAGACATTTATTTTTTCACGGTTTTGTAGGCTGGAAATCCAAGATCGACTTGTCAGCA